TTGCAAACATCACATCTCTAGAGATCGATGATCTCTGGATGATGTGGATGATCTCTGGATGATGACCTGGGGTCCAGAGGGACTTGAAAAGCGTTCTATAAGTTCAGTACCATTTACCATTTACCTTTTTAAGTTAAAAGCTAAAATAAGCTAAAGTACAGGTAAAAGCCTAAATTAGTGACATTGTAGCTAAAAGCTAAAATTATACAAACTGTTATTCAAGCAACAATCAGCTAGATTGCAGCTAAAAGCTACATAGCTTAAAGCTAAAATTTGCAGCAGAGTAGCTAAAAGCAAAAATAAGCTCAACTGTAGCTAATCACTAAAATTAGACTTAAAAGCTTACAATTAAACTGTGTCTTTCAAGTAAAAATGACCAAAACAGCAGCTAAAATCTAAAATTAATAACTTTTTAGATAAAAGCACAAAAGAGCTAAACTGAAGCTAAAACCAAAAATTAATAAAAAGGCTCTTTTTTTATACAGGTTTGCTAAATTAACTGTTTAACTAGTTCAAAGTAGCTTAAGTAGAGAAAACCTTTGGAAATTCATTAAAAAGTTCTGAGAGCATCCTCCAGTATGAAGGGGAGCGCATCAGGAACCTGTTTGTGGGCGGGGCTAAAATYAAATAAAGCTTCCTTTCTTTAAACCTTTTAATTTGTCATTTTCAGGATGAAGAAGCACAAAAGGAGTTGGATGTTCTGTGTCCYGCACTTGGAGTGTGACAACAGTGGAAGAATCATGCAGACTTTTTAAATTTATGAATAAAAATGTTGTTTTTCTGTTTGAACACACTGAATGTTAGGCCGTGGTTTTAAATCACTCTGTGAGTGGAGAGACGTGTTCTGGTGTCAGAGACAAACATCTGTCAGAGCAATAAGCAGCATTTAACGCGGTCTTTGTTGAAATTCTGACTTTCGTTGTAATAATAATAATAATATGTTTTTAAAATACTAGAAAACATTTTTTCTTTCTCTCTGTTAGAAGTTCAAACCCTCTGAGGCTAAACTCTTCAGAACTCATTTTTAACAGTAGGATACAGCCAGGGAAGTCATTTATAACATCTACTTTTATTTCAGTCAAAAGAAATCTTGCAAGTTACGCTCAGACTGACACTTGTCTGCAGGCTGAGCAGTCGTCTGCGGGCTGAGCAGCCGTCTGCAGGCTGAGCAGTCTGCAGGCAGAGCAGTCATTTTCAGGCAGAGCAGTCATTTTCAGGCTGAGCAGTCATCTGCAGGCAGAGCAGTCGTCTGCGGGGTGAGCAGTCTGCAGGCAGAGCAGTCATTTTCAGGCTGAGAAGCCGTCTGCAGGCTGAGAAGCCGTCTGCAGGCAGAGCAGCCGTCTGCAGGCAGAGCAGCCGTCTGCAGGCAGAGCAGCCGTCTGCAGGCAGAGCAGCCGTCTGCAGGCAGAGCAGCCGTCTGCA